GCAGCCAGCCACATTTTTTCTTGGTTTAGTATATTTTTGCTCTATTTCATGAAGTATGGATACCTGTTTTGATGATGCCTATCACAGTACATACGAAAGCTAAGCACAGTTTCATCGGGTTCGGAGGACTGTGAGGCAAGAATTTCTTCGCATAATTAAACAGTCTTTAGTACGCGGCAATCCCTATTCGGTTCTCGGTGAGACCGCATTACGAATTTCTTCAAATTAACTTTTCCTTCGAAATGGAGAATCATGCCACAATATTTCTTTAAGAAATTGTTCGAAATTTAGTCTTTCTTCCTATTCCATAGATAGTTCAAATAATGTTAACTTTCATGAGATTGTTACGAAAATATTAAGAAAAGTAACCGATTTCATGGCCTTATAAATATATGATGCAGATGACATAATAAAAATATGACGCACACGATATGCATTTAGGAAAAAAAATCCGTAGACATGAGATACGCTTTTTGAATGTAAGCTTAATGCCTACTCATCATTATGTAAAACTCAACTATCTTTCATTCGTATGCGACCTAGGGTGACTTAAGTTCTTCTTCAGAATTTACTGATAGTTTTGTAAACCTACTTAATATCAATATTCCGTTGGATTATATGTTGATATAATTATGTTATTATAAGCGTGGAGGCTTCATTGAATCACATACGAACAGTTTCATTTTGATCTGGGTCTAATTCACAAGGAAGCTTGCAATATCCAAATCTGTTCAAGTAGTTGACATTATTGGTGGGAGGTTATTTTAATATTGAAAATAGGCTTAAGGCTAATCAACATGTCATCTTAAATTTTTAGAGTTCGACCGGACTCATTATCCCGACTTAATTGCTCGTGAGCACTTGGCGAAAGCAGCTGGTTTGGCCGAATCCCGTGTCCAGGTCTGGTTCTCTAATCGCCGAGCCAAGTGGCGTCGTGAGTCGAAGCAGACTTCATCTCCTTCAGCACCTTCATTCAGTGATTCAGCCTTGGTCACCCATGCAAGGGACAAGGCTATTGACACTCTTGAACTACTTGAGAAATCAAAAGAAGTAGTTAATCATTCATTATTGGCGCATTCATCTTCTCCTGCCATAAATCCGGTGTTAAGAACACAGCCAAGTAAAAAGGACTCCCATGTTCCCCCAAATCAATTGTCTCACGACCAGATGCCAGCAAAAATGTCATCAGCATTGACAGTCATGGCGCTAACTCATACTTCTTCCTTGTCTTCTCCCAATTTGCATGCTAAGGAGACGAAAAGTTACGTAAAGTCAGGGGACGATCAAATTAACTTGAATGCAGAATTAAATTGCACCAGCGACGTAGCTGAATCAACTTGTATAAATTCCATAAGCTGCTTGACAATAATCGAAGATCGTTCTGTTCTCAAACTTGCTGGTTCGCAGCCAGATAAAGTCAAGTTAAACAATGCAACTCCAGTCATTGATAATAAGATACAAGTCAACGGATGGCATGATAGAATGGATGTAAGTTGTGAAATACGATAATATATCGTTACCAGCCTGGAAAATATTCGTTTCATCAAGTATGTGTGCATGCATGATTCGCTGAAGATGGAGTATTTACGGATACGACTTTAAGCTACCAATTTAGAGGCTCCGGTTATTATTTAATTCCTAAAATGTATTATAAACTTATTTATTATCTTTTGATTTATTAATTTACAAATAGAAGCGAATGTCTTAGTTTATTACTATTTCGATTACCATTGTCACTGCTTAACATTGTGTGATATTTTCATCTTATTTTCAATCAATTGCACAAGGCTAGTTTCCATTATTTAATCATACTTCGTTGTTTCATACAATAAAATCAGAGGAGTATGATTTCAAATTATTCATTTGCTTCAAGTTTGCGAGAAATTTGCGGATATTTTTTCTATTACGCAAAATTTTGATTAAGCTCAGGAAAATGTTTAAACTAGTAGAAGGGAACATTAATTAATTGTCGAGGTATGGGTGAAATGAATGTTCATCTCAAGGAAAGGATGCACTTAAATATAAAAATGTGAACGATTAAATAATGCAAATTATAGAGGTGGGTTCACCTCGTTGTCGCAACTTGGTCTTGTTGTCAGGGTGACTTAATAGAACGTACCTAGTCCGAAGTCGTCTGTCATAGTAGTTGTCATAATTCGCAGCATCAGACAGTGGACTTGGTACATTCTCAAACGTTTCGCCGACATCATAGTCGGC